GATAAGGAAGTCTCTTCAAAGGGAATAATTAGAAAAGCTGATTAGAAAAGCTGCCGGAATGTATCATCATTGCAAATACAAAGGCTGGAGAATCGCCATCTTTAAAAAAAAAAAAAAATTGACACTGAAGCTTGAGTTTCTAAAAAAACAGACGTAAAGTTCTCAAATATGAGCTCTGCTTGTATTAATTTCATAAGAAAAAAAATAATTTCATTAATTTGTCCTAAGGGGGGGGTCTTGGCCTTGTGCCGTTAGTACAGCAGAGAAATCTGGCCGGAGATGACTCAGCTTAAAAAAAACAACCCCCCCCCCTCGTTTGCAGCAGAAAAAAAAGCCACAAACTGCAAGGAAAAGTTCTTACCAGCTGAGACGCTCACTACAATCTTCTTATCTGAAGTTTGAGTTATCTAAAAGGGTGTTTAATTAGATAACGAACCAGAAATCTGGGAGCGGCTCAATTAAGCCGCTGCCGACAGCTAAGATCCTCCCCGGAAGTCGGTCTCAACCTTCCTAATGCCGCGACCCTTTAATATAGTTCCTCATGTTGTGGTGACCTCCAACCATAAAATAATTTTATGTTTCCTGTATTTTTTCAAAAATATGTGTTTTCCAATGGTCTTAGTCCTGACCCACAGGTTGAGAACCACTGACCTACACCATCCAAAGTCACCATGTGAGATGGGCAGTATACAAATGTGATTAAATAATAAAATTATGTTTTCTTAATTATACATTGCTTTGCAGGTAGTACTTGTTTAGCAACTACCTTGTTTGGCAACAATTTGCAGTTACAATTATGAAAAAGTAACTTTACAACCAATGCTTGCATTTACAAGCTTCATAGGACTGTAAGGCGAAGAAAAACTGAAGTAAGACCACAAACACTGTCGTGGTTTCAGTCGCAAACAGCTTCAATTAACCACCACATTGTTGCTTCCAATTGTCCCTGTGCAAGGACTTCCTGTATATCCTAATTTCAATGGATATGAGTGATTGTTTGGGTTGATTGTGATATCCCATAATAATTCAGAATATGTTTTTCATTGAGCTGTGTTCAATTGAAAAATAAATATATAGATAGACAATGACAAATATTTGTTTTCTTTTCAGAATGGATTGATGACGAGCATTCCTTCTGTGACAGCAACGTGAAGATTTTTAGTATCCCTCATTGTATTGGGTCCAAGGATTCTTGTTCTCCTAAAAAAAATGAGACTTTTTCTTCACTACCTCTGACACCTACTTCACCACAGTATAGTATCTCTATAGCAGACAACAATGTATCTGCTGAAAGTTATATCAAACAAACCAAATTACAAAATGAAATTGAAAAGCCAGTGCAGATTGGAAACCATGAAGTAGAAAAAAACAATCTAGTTGGTTGCAGGGAAGTCTGTATCTCAGAAAATAGTAGATTAAGAAATAAAAAGTCAGTTCTATCTGAACAGCCTAGAAAATGTAAAGATGACTTTGATCTTTTGAGTAATTTTATCATGCTGAGATCTAAACAGGTGATCAGTCAAAGAGAAGAAGGAAATACTGTGGATATTCAAGAAGAAGGTAGTTTAATTGCTTTTATTAAGATTTAGTTTAGGATCAAATAGTTTAGCATAGTTTAGGATCCAATTTTCTTTTCTGATAAAACATTACAGTTGTATTAAGAAACACCCATGTAAACCATCGACATCAGAAAGGATCAGATAGGAATGTGGGAATATTTAGATTATATGGTAAACCTACTTAATGAGATATTCCCTTAGTATAGGGAACATTTTGATCTATGTGGAGAAAAGAAAATTAAATATTTCCAATAGTGCATTCTCTAGTATTTGAACAAACAGTAAGTCTTAAGAGTGTTTAGAGATACCAGTAATTATTACAGTACACATACATTTTATTTATTTTATTTATTTTATTTATTTTATTTATTTTATTTATTTTATTTATTTTATTTATTTTATTTATTTTATTTATTTTATTTATTTT